CGATTAGCATAGACACCGCACTTCTAATAAAAGTATCATGAGAAATGGCAAATGAATGACACACCCGAGAGCCGAACTTGGCCTTATTCGCCCGCAATATTTTGCCTGAAACATTTTGGCAGTCAAATTATAATTCCTATACAATCAAAGCACAATATGCTGCTGTACGGGAGCCAAAAATCGAGTCGGGACCCGATAAATCGACAAAAGGAGTCCCCCATACTTAATGGGTCGTTCGACCGCCCCTAAGCGACTCTCCACAAATTAAAACATTCTTAGAGTCATTAGCATACACCAAGTGTCCACGCTACCGTCTAGAAACAAATTTTAAATTCGGCTAAACACAACCTACTGAGTAATACAAGTAGATTGTTTTTGTAAAAATTATAGACAGTAAAAGGGCCAACTAAATCAAAGCACCACCAGTATCGGTACGGACGCTATATGGATTCCATTACCATTGGCTCTTGATTATTCCAATTTCCAAACTTATTCGGTTGGCGCATCAGTGACGCACCTACAAGCCGAATCTGGCTTAATTTACCCGCAATCCTATGGAAGTTACAACAGAACTTCTATAGGGCCCAAGCACAAAATCCTGCTGTACGCGAACTACAAATCGTACCGGAACCCGAAAAAATAATGCACAAAAGGAGGTCCCCACATTGGTAATAGTGTAAAGTTCTTTTAAACAACCACAAGACTGCGAATATTGATGTGTACAAAATACTGCGAGCGCAACTTATGAGGGATAGACAAACAAGTAGATACATGGGGAGGGAGTGGGGGGGCAGAGCACTTTTATTCCTTGATCTCGCAAGACAATTCTGGAACAAAATTTAGCACAAGCACGTAAGGCCTGGTGCCCGCAAAGACCGGAGCCATTAGTTTTTGGAAGTAGACCGGTGAGTTGCCGTCCTTCTTCTTCTCTGTGATCGAGGGGAACCAATCCGATTCAATCTGACGACTGGCAAAAAATGCAACCGAGTTCTCCGAGGGGCTGGTACGAACGACCTCACTAGGGGAGGGGGGGAGAGAGGGCAAACAAAACATGATAGGTGGGGTTACCAATTAGAGTTGCCTATTTGGTTTTTAACTGATTGTTGGAATGGGATTTGAGTCCCACAGCAAAAAATAAGAGGTGAAATCCAACATCAGACCTCGATATTCGTGGAAAATAACGAATAAGTACGCCTTTTCATAATAGAACGCCGCGGGTCGACAAAAGTACCAGTACTCATTCTTTGAAATCTTTGAAATTGAACGAAGGTATAACGGAAGCAAAGTAATTAGTCGGTCCCGTGCCGCGGGCCATCACATCACGAACGGTCAGCCTTTATTGCAGACAACCAAAGGCAGACTTAATTTATTACTTGCGTCTGGTACTTGTAATTAACACGAACTGTGAGCTTGCCCGACCGTTGTACCCAAAGCCAGCACGGGAGACGAAGAGGAGGTGATCGACCACGACGATGACTGTATTTCCAGATAGTAAGTCATCCTCACGAAGGCTGCATATATTTATTGATCCGCTTGATGAGAAAGTGTCGGCAACATGGAACAATCAGATCTGACGAGAGATCGATAGCCACTGTACGCGCTCCCATTGCAACAGCGTAGCAGCTCGCACAGGCGCCTTTCTGTAAGACGGCTTATCGTGGTAATAGAGGCAGTTCTAATAACTTCAGAGCAAGGCTGGACCAACTGACACGCCATTCCTGCAGACTGAATGGCGTCTACGACCGGGTTCCCACCCGCCCTCCCGGCGGCCAAGGTCTGCTACACCCATCTCCCTACG